GATATGACAAGAAATTGCTTATGTTGGAAGCTCCTACAAGATCTGCACTGCTTAAAATGTACAGAAAAGCAAAGCAAATCAGCTGTAAACATATGGAAAAAGATCATACTTCATTAATTATCAGAGAAAAAGTCCAAAATTAAGATAAGGAGATAATATTTTACCTCTATTAAAATTCGTAATAATAAAAGTTTGAGAAGTAACATCTACTATTCTCTTTGGGCAAGGGATATGAAAAAAATGAACATTTCTGGGACATTCATTGGTATGACTATAAATAAGTACAATCTTTCTGTAATTTACTAAAATGTATCAAAAATTTAAAAATAGCTATACTCTTTGAATTGGTAACTCTCTTCCCATAATTACCTTGAATTATTAGCAATAGTTATGTATAAAAATTATAGTCATAAAAATTTACAATAGCAAAAATTTAAAACAATCTGAAATAACAAATATTTGGAGATAAAGTATGGTACAGCTATAATTAGACTCTGATGTAAACAATGAAACTGAAGATCATGTTTTCAAAGAATACTTACTGTCCTCAAGAAATGGTTACTCCAAAATGTGAAAAATCAGGATATAATTTTACAGTATTTTGTTTTTAAAGTTCTATATATCCACATAAAAGGACTAGAAATGAACACACAAATCTTTCATTGTTTGGGGGATAATGGGATAACGGGTATTTTCTATTTTAGCATTCTTCTGCATCTTTACATTTTCCATAATAAATGTAATCAAATAGTAAAGTCGATCATTTTAAAGAATGAAAACAACCTGAGAAAGTTCCAGTTCTTGAAAACACACAGATTCTGGTGAGGCAAAATTTGAGGCTGGAGCATTATGAAAAGTTGTTTTTTTCTTAAAAATTAACTCTATGCACCATAGAAAGAGGATTATTAATGTCTATATCCCACAATCATATTTGTATATATGATAGTCTATAAACTATTTTAAGACTATATACACAACGTAACTTTTTTTTCAGATTATTTCCACTCCTTTCACACCGTATCATTCTTCAAGTACCAAAGTCCCTCGCTAGTCTTTTTCTCTCTGCTCTAATGTTTAAGAATTATTACCAGAGTTTTTAGCTGTACTTAGTGGGAAGAATACGAAAAAATATGTATGCTCCATTTGTTTAGAACCAGAAGTCACTTCTCTCAAATATCGCTTCATATATTTTAATGCTATGTTATTAGGTATACATAGGCTTAGAATTGGTGTATCTTCCTGATCGGTCAAATCCTTTATTATTTAGCAGGGTCCCCCTTTATTATCTAGTAGTCACTTTTTGCCTTAAATGTTTCATTATAATATAGACATACCAATTTTCTTATGGCTAATATTTGCCATTATATCTTTTCCATCTTCTGTCAACCTTTTAATGTCTTTTGAATACGACTTTTGGAAACAGTATGGTGCTAGATTTTTTTAAAAATTTGAACTGACAATTTTTGCTTTTTAATGTTTTGCCACAAATTATATACATATTTACATTTATTTCTCATCAATTTTTTATGTTTTGTATTTACCTTTTCCTCCTTTCTTGCCTTGAGATTGAATTCATTTTATCTCCTTCAAAGGCATACACTCTATCGCTAGTCTATTCTTTCAGTGGCTACCCTATTTTGACAAGCATTCTTAACACAGTCATCAGTTAGTCATTTATTTTTACCTTGAACCTTAAGACTACAAGGACCTTAGAAAATTTTAATTCTGATGATCTTCTTCCAATTTATATCTATTGTTCCTTATTTTAATACTAGGATTAACATTTCCCAAAAGATTAGCCATTCATGTTTTATAA